AAAAAAATAAAAAACATGATTTGGGGATTTTTGTATGCATAAATTGATATCTGAATACGTGAATTTTAATTTAATTACTAAGCGGTTAAATGAATTTGCACATAAATTAATAAAATGTCACGTTCGCCGGATAAAAACAACTTATAAGTAGTAAAGGCAAGCAAAGACAATGTAATTTAAGCTGGGATTTCTAGAACTGCCATGTGAATTATGTTAATGTTATGCGGTTTCGCCAATGTCTAGATAAAATTCAAAAGACAAAATTCAATTAAAGTGCCCATGAAGTGCCATGGCTTTCAAATCGAAAAGTTAAACTTAACAGGATGTTGGCATTAAGGATACAAAATAAGTTAGGCGGCATACAAGGAAACACTTTTTTGCACTTGACTAAAACCATTTTATAAGCCAAATACAATGTTAACCAACGATCATCATAAAGATTTTTTTCTTAAGTCTTTTGTTAAGTGATAGAAATAAACGCTAAAGGTCTCCGACAAGTTTGAACGAAAAAAGGATCGACATTTTGCCATTGCTTTTGATTAGAAAGATCAGAATAACAGAAAAAACTCTTTGGCTAAAATAATGAAAAACAAGCAAGAACATAATACTCGACCACTAGATACTGTGCACCGTTTGGCCTAATACAGTTATTCACAAGTTTTGGTAATAATACACCAAGAGCTAGACACTATTTTCACGGAAAAGAAAACTTGTCATGAAAGCCCGCCTATTGGAGGAATCTTTATATGAGGTGATATCCAAAAAATAGACCAACGCAGTCCACATTCGTTACAATTGATTTCTGTGTCAATTTACTTTAATGCACCAAAAGCTAAATACTATTTTCTCGCAAAAGAATTTATTTGAGGTGATATCCAAAACATAGAGCAACATGGTCCACATTCGGTAAGGTTGACTTCTATGTCAATTTACTTTGATGATCTGATTTTCATATTGAAGCATTGAAAATTAGCCCTTTTTGTCATATGAACTTCAGTTTTCGTTATATGCCCCAGCCGGTCTAAAGTTTTCATACCAATTTAAAATGCTGAAAAACTATTACTTAGCCACTTTTGTCGACAAATTTTGAAAATTCCAATTTTTTTCTATCCAACGACTTCGCAAAATGGGCCGTTATAAGGCGAGTTGTCGAAAAAGTGAACCGATTAAAAACATCTTCAATAGCGTTCGTCGCAGTTTAACTCAGCACGACAGTGTATCAAATTTCGTCAAAACATCTCCAAAATTGCAACCTGTAGCTTGCACAAAAATTTACATCGACAGACATCGGACGGACGGACAGGCTTACGCAGAATCAATTTCTGAATCGATTGGTATAATAAAAGATCGTCTATCTTAATTCCTCCTGCGTGCTATATACGTTCGCATAAACTTAATTACTTTTTGTATCAAAAGTCAAAAGCTAGCGTAAGCTTAATACATTGCCTTCCCTAAGTAGTGTGGATTATAGTTTCAACAATAGACTGTAAGTAGATAGAAAAATAGGAAAATCTGATAACAAGTTGACAAGCGCAAACATACATGTTTAATATTAAACATCCCCGCCCACGTTGAAAGAATAACTTTATTAATGCCAGTAACAACTCTGAGGCCATCTCACTCTCACTAATCTGTCGGTGGCGGTGTGTAGTATCGCAAACTTTCCTATCGTCCTCGATGGATAATGCGATATTGCTGTCCTTAATTATTGTTCAGTTCCCCCGTTTGTTGCATTGTTGGAGTTGTGTGAGTTTTATTCAAAAGATTATTTCTCCCAAAAGTGTTGAATAAGATGTTCTAAGTATTGCCATCCATTGAGAAGATTCTGCTTTATTTTCAATAAAGTTTTCTGCTTTTACTATTGCTGTCAGGTTTCGCATGACCAAGAAATGAAGTTAGTAGATCTGCATCAACTTGATGTTTGCTACACAATGGACGTGAATTTAAACATCCTTCAATGTGACCGACAAATCCTTGGGCGTACACCTTACATGATATTTAAAAAACTTATCTTCTGCTTTCTATAAACTTCCGTCACCAAATTTTTTATGCTTATTCTCAGATCCTCAGGCAATTTTTATTGAAAAATGTAAACAAACCTATTCAAACATATTCTCAGATGGTTGGCATTAGTTAGTGTTATTGTTAATACTTTATTACTGCGAAAGTTTTTCGTTATATGTTTATTTTAAGAAACAGAAATTTTGCTTGATGTACTCGTTCGTATGTTCACATACGCTTACGACCCGTGAGTCATTCGTACATCTCTACAACAACATGTAAACACCGTCAATGACATTCAGGGTTTTAAAATGTTTCTTAAAAAAATGTGTTTACTTTGCACATACATGCATTTAAAAGTAGAGTTGCTGAAAACTTTTCAGCATGGAATCAATCATATTGAAAAGTAAAAGTTTTTTAATTTCAATTTCCATCCAAAGTGCTATGGAAGAATTTACAAGCGATAGGCAGCGAAGGAATCGATCGGAATATTCTATGAATCCTAAAACATTCAACGAATATTTTTTTTTTGCTTCTAGCAAGTTCTTTACCCTCGATAATGACTTATTGCACAGGAATAGTTACAATTTTCATTTTAAAATCGTCACCAGGAAAGAAGTCTGCCAAGCAGTTCTATGCTTTAGCCCTGATGCTTTTGGGAATGACAATATTAGGATTGGGTTCCTAAAGACCATCCAATCCATTGACATAGATTTCTAATCATATTATGATTACTGGCACGTTTCATGATTCTTGGAAATTGGTTTTGATTATACATATCGGCAAATGAATTTCACCTATTGTCCAATAAGCATGCCATCAAGTCTTTGTAAGATCATTGAAAGTTTAATAGCCAATCAAATGGAAGGACACAAGTAGTCATTGCTTCGTCTTACAATACTTAGAGCTTTGGAGAACATTCCTCCACAATATGACAAACTCGATTCGAAAATCTTAGTTATGACTGATTAGTCCAAAGCAAGATAAACCATAGCTTATTTTTGGATTAGCTAGGGTTTTATTTCGTCCCACAGCAGCGAAACTCATCATGTCCTATTCAGATAATCATTGTCAGTGTGTGAAGGTGGCAAGGCGGCAGTTCTCGTTCAGGTATGTATTTTGGCAATGTCCTATCTTAGTGGCGCAATTCTATTCTGGTCCGATAGTCAATATGCAATGATATTTTCTGAAATTATCACCAGATTACCTTGTCATTTATGAGATTAAAATAACACAAGATTTCTCGTTTAAATACCCGTTAGGTTTAGAAGTATAAATATACAAATATTCGTTTAGCTAAATAAACATTTCTAACGTTTCATTTAAAACCTTTAGGAAATGCAAACCGTCCTAAAGGAGCCCAAAAGACAAAATTTACTTCACTCAGTTTTTTATTCCTCTTAAAAGACAGAAGTGTCCTCAGTTTACGTAGTACTTTAGGCGTATCATTAGACCGATTTTGCCCATTTTTCATAGCAGCCAGCGTGCAAGAATTTCCAATTTTTCTACCGAATTTGACGTCGATAGGTTCATTTTTGCGACCAGGAGAATATTTTCAAAACAAATTTTAGACATGGACAGACGGACAACAGGACTCGCTTAAATCGATTCAGAATTCGATGCTGATCGGGAATATGTACACTTTGTGATGTTTCGGAAGCTTCCTTCTGGACGTTGCAAACATTTTGCCAAAACGAATATACTCCTCATCCTTCAGTGATGGCTACAAAAATAACAAGAATTACTCAAATAAATAGTGCGTACCAGTAAACCGTAAAAATTTTAAACATTGTATAGTTTACATTTTTTATGGAAAACGTTGCTATACATTCTCTACTACACAAAGCATGGTTCACCAAACAGTACTCCCTGACACAACACCTATCTTACAAGGAAATTTTCCAGGCTCCAGACATTGTACTATATGAACACTAAATGGCAAAATTGTATCATGGATAATAAATGGTAAAAAGTCTACTGACGGTGTTAGCCAAACCTAAAGTTAAATTTAATCTACTTCTTTAAGCATAGTCTTTCAGGCCTGAGCCGTATTCTAAGCCGGCGGGAACAATTGTTACTTTAAATATATAATGTTTCTTTCAGTACACTCAGCTGGATTTAAATTATAGAAAGTGTATTAATTAAGGAATAAGGAAAACAAGTTTTAACTGCGACGAGCGGGGTTGTTTTGCTTGAATATAAATGAAAAGCATAAAGTCCACTTAACATGGAAAATAGGAAAATTTTTTGCATTTAGCCAACAAAAGTGCCTGGGCATATACTTGCGAAATACTTGATTTCAAGTTAAGAATTTAATAAAACCAAAATTTAAAAATCAATCAACCAAAGCAAAGTATTGAGATTCGCAATGTCATTCAGGTTTTTATGTCGATTTCAAATGTTATCAACACGAATAAATCATGTGTGTATTAAGAAACTTATATGTTTCATCAGGATCAAAAGTTTGGTGACCGCCGACATAAATTACAAAATAAACAAAAACTAAAGTAACAAACTTGATTCTACGTTATACAAAATAAGAGCGAATAAGAGAATCGTATTGAGGGGTAGCAAGTCATTAAGAATGCACGTACGTATGTATTGTGTGTATATTCAAAAAGTCATGACTTCCAATTAGAATAACAAAAAAAACTTAACAAAAACTATGCACTAGCGAACAATACATTTTTAATACCGGTAGGTATGTGTAGGGAAAAAAGGCAAGTGTAAATATTTGGTAAAGACAGAGATAGTAGAAAGAAAGAGAGAGAAAACAAATAAATAAACCTGTAAATCATAATAACAACAAAGTGACGTTGAAAGTCGTTTTACTAGTTTTGATTGTTTTGTTGCCTCAACGTAGCTAATGCCGAGTATCGTTATTTGTGCATAGGTTAGTACGCATAAGTATTGAAATAAAATTAATAAAAATGAAAAGCAAAAAAAAAAAAGAAAAGTTAAATTTTGAAAAATGCAAATCAAATAAATTTACAACTTACCATCGATGCTAAAATAATTGCTTTTGCAATTTCTTCACAATTTCCTCTCAATTTCAATGAACACAGCAAATTGTTTTTCCAAACGGACAACACTACACCAACTACGTTTTATATATATTTTCTTATTTTTATAGGCAAATTGATCTTGAGTAAGTTACGGTTTTGTTTGACAGTAAACAAATATGGCTACTAGCGAAATATTTTTGCTCACATTTTTTACGGAAACAAGCCCAATTGTACCACATGGTTTGCATATATAAGCATATTTTTCTTATTATTTTTTATAAATATGATTTTCGGTTTTATGACATTTCGTCTCAGAAATATTCCGTTAATTTTTGATATTTTCTTTCTTTTTCTACACTTTTACTTTTTATACAATATTTTACATTACATTTTTTTTTTTTTTGCACAATATTAATTATTCATCTCAGTAACTGCTTTTGTAATAAAATCATTGGAAAAAAGCAAGTAAAATGTGGCCGCTCGATCACGATGTTTTGACAATAATACAAGCGCGCGAACAAATGAACGCGATGTCCAATTCTCAAAGTAAAAAAAGCAACTAAAATACCAACTTTATAATTTAAGGATTTTAAAGAGTAATAATAATAAATGATATAAAATACAAAGTGGTGAGAATAATAAAATTCAATTTCCGAGAGTAAAATTTTCTTTGCCGCACACTTCTCCTCGCGTACCTAAAAAAATGCTGAGAATAATAAAATTGAATTTCTGAGAGTAAAAATTTAAAATGCCTGCAATACCTCAAGCGAAGTAATCAAAAAAATCCTCTCAGAGTAAACCAAATTTTCCAATAACAACACCAGCAGTACTTTAGTAGTGCCAAGTAATCAGAAAAAATCTCTGAGAGTAAAGGAGAAGAGTCTCAACTTAAATGAAAATCATTATTTCGCTTTGCAAAATAACAAATAACAAAGTAAACACATTCAACAGGCAACTGAGAGTGAGAGTAAGAGTGAGAGTAAGATGAGTAATGCACAGAAGCTGGAGTTTTAAGAGATAGAAAAAATGCATTTCGTATGTTCATATATGCCCACACATTTGTAACGTTTGGGGGGCAACTTCAAATATAGAATATTCGTATTCTTGATCAACTCAATTTTTATTCGGCCTGCGTCTGGCTGAAATGGTCAATAGTCAATCTTCCGGTCGTAAAAATTAACATATCATCTTCAAATTGGACAAAGATATTGGAACTTTTTGCACCAAAATCAATATTGAAAAAGGGCAAAGCGGTCAAAAGATACGTCCATACTACAGAATTAACTAAGGCACATCTCTGTTTTCAAAGACAAACACTTGTTTTTTTTTAACGCGCAACTTACTCAGAAAATGCAACCGGTGTGACGATAAATAATTAAATAAGTTTGGTTCGCATATTTTCCAAAACACTATACATCTATACATTTATACATCTAGAGAAGAAGAATTAACGCCAAATATTCAAAAATTTGCGAAAATCGAACGGAAGGTCTCTAAAAATTTATTAAAACTAATCAGAATGCGTTTAAGGGAAGATAAATGCTCTTTTTTCATACAATTATATATAAAAGATTGCAAATTCATTCAAACCACTTGTACGAATGTATGTAAGTAATTTTCTTCTTTCTCCTGTTTTTCTTTTAGATAAATTTTGCATATCCTTTACCCTGAACATAATATATTTTAATTTGGCTGATCGGGACTATGTTGTTGCCCTATTTTTATTTAACTGAAGAATATATTGAACAAATTCTTCTTGGCAGGAAATATGAAAGTCAAACGCAGGTAACTTGTCCAAGTTGTAAAATTTAGTTTGGCAGTAAAATGCACATAGACAGAATTATTGCATCAACATTAAGCCGAGATGTATTGAAGAATGGTTTTTCCAACTATAAACATTGTCATCGCGAGTTGCGTCTCTTGCTAATAGTAAGACACTCAACGTCTCGACTATATTATTACTTTTCCCCGCCCTGATAAGTATTGAGAAACAATTCAAAACTTGATTAAATTCTATTGAAATTTTCTGTTCATCCTTAAATTATTTTAGTATTCAACCAACAGAGGATTATAGCTTGTATCACAAGTGGTGTAGGATATAATAAAAATATTTAATTTGCATCTGTAAAGATTAAAGAACGATAAAATTATAATATTCGAAGTTGTACATTTTACAATAACTGTTTTTAGAAGATAAAAAAAATCTACACGAACTTGAAATGTCTACAGTGTCCTTTACTATGACCTACACAACTTTGGTACAGGATATGTATACAAGTTTGTGTGGACGTATGTGACGCGGGGAAGCGTTTAAGATAGTGGCACCTTTTATTATACCGATGAAGTCAGAAAATGATTCTACGTCTATCTGTCCGCCTGCCTGTTTGTGTTTAAGCTACATTTTTCGCCATTTTTCAGATATTTTGACGAACTTTCGTACACTGCCGTGCTGGGTCAAACAGCTAAGAACGCTATTGAAAATGGTTTGGATTGGTGCACTTTTTTGACCACTCCCCTTATAACTGACAACTGCGATAACCCTTTGGAAAGAAATTACAACTTTCAAAATTTGTCGACAAAAGTGGCTAAGTAGTGGTCTTTCGGCATTGTAGATTGGTACGAATATTTTGCACCAGCCGGGGAAACTTTTTGAGTTCCTCTCATGTAACGGAAACTGAAGTTCATATGACAAAAAGTTCTAACTTTCAACTGGGGCAGAAAAGTCCAAGTTTTAATATTTTATGATGAAAATTGATTCATAATAGCAGTTTGTTATAAAAATTAACTATACCGAATTTTGAATACGTACTATAATTTTTCATCCTCTTGGGCGCAACCACTCTTACGGAAAGTAAGCCTATATTTGCGAAACGTTCTAATTTTTAATATACAGTTTCATAATAGTAAGCTCATATAAAAACACTGTATAATTTTTGTGTTCTATAAGCAAAAGAAAGGATTGTGTTAGACAATGTGGTGTAGGGTATTGATTAGTGAGCCAAGCGCGACTGTAATGTTTTAATATGTTTTTAAAATGTATAAAAAAATCGATGAAAATGTAAAGAACCAGTTTTTTAAACTCAATAACCTCATATAATCTTAACGTCGCTTTGAACGATTTGGATATAATATACCTATATATATATATATTGACATCAATGTATTTACTTTCATATATATATATAGTTACATCAGTAGCCGCCATACAATGCACTCAAATGAAGGACTAGAAGGATCAAAAGGATCAAGTCACAACAGTTTGTAAAAATATTGCTACAATCACAGCGACAATATGAGAAGTGCTTAAATGGCATCACTACAACCTTTATTAAAGAATTTTGTTTTAGAAAGAGAGCGACAGAAAGAGAAATAATCGAATGGAAAAACAAATATCATATTCTTATTGTGAATTTTTCTAAGAAAAGACAATTTTGTGGCGTTCTTTTTATTACTTTTTATCAGAACTTTTAAAAATACGCCCCTTTTTTTTGAACAAATGTTATCTTAATACACCCTTTTTTGGACAACACTTTTTTTTGTTTTTATATCTTTTTGGAATTCAACAAAAAATTTTGCATGTTTATAATAATTTAACAACAAACAATATCTTTTATTTTCGCTATAATTGATGGTATTAATTAGCGAAAGTAAAACTGATGTTTAAACGAATATAAGATAAATTTCTTGTCCAGTGATTTTTGCGTTTAACGGTGCACCTAAGTACTCATTGGATTGTAATAAAAATATTTTAGCTTAAGCAAGGAAATTTGCATTTTTTTATTTTTTTTTTATTTTTAGCTTTTATTTTCTATAAGAAAGTGAAAATATATCTTAGAGTAATTTTTATACCCACCACTGACGAAAGGGGCTATAGCCGTTTATTGTAATGTTTGCAACATCTAAAAGGAACCTTCACAGATCCCATAAAGTATATATACAGCCTTGATTAGCCTGAAATTCTAAATCGATTAAGCCATGTCTGTCCGTTTGTGTGGGGTTTTGCACGCAGGTTGGTATTAAAAATGGGCCAAATTCGTCGGAGTACGCTCTTTACTCATTACTCATAAGTTAAGAAAGAAAAAAAAGGTTGAAATTTTCTACATTTTCTTTACGGATAATTCTACTATTTATGTGTAAAAATTGGAAGAATCATCTATACCCACACACTGCGGTTAAATTGTTTTTTTTCACTTTTTTTTTGGGATTTTATGCATATTAATCATGAGATAAATGATGGACAACACGACCTTTTAATTATTAATCCTTTTAAATTTTAATTTTTTCACCACAATACCGTCGATATGAATGTCAAATAAAAGGACTTGAAGAGTAAAAGTCGACAAGCTAAGTATGAAAACTCTACGTTAATTATGATTAAATTTTTCTTAAGAATCTGAAGAAGATTGCATATAAATTTTATCCCATTCATTTTTTTATAAACATAAACAAAAGCGTGGGACGTCAAAGATTATATTTGCGGTGGGTATGCGAGATTCGGGCCTACCCGAATAAAACTTTCTCACTTGTTTTAACGAGCAATCAACTACAACGTATGGTAAAAAATTTCGTAATTATGGCTTTTTAACAAGAAAATTAAAATTATGCTTTCAATATTTCGTATTCCCAATCGCTGATACTAAGTTGTGGTTTAAATCGTTTCAAGGGATCTGTTTAGAGAGGAAAACAATTATAAGAAAATCAAAAATTACATATGGAAATTTCCGTAAAAATGCTTACCTATCATAGCATAACGCTGTTCGTTTTGCAGCTGAGTATAATCGATATTGGGTCCTTGTAGAAATTCAGAAGTTGTTCTTATTTCAGGTATCCAAATTTCATCTAATGAATCCTGCATTACGGTCAATAACTGCTTGAATTGTTTTTGCAATTTAATAGCCTCAGCGTCGTGATCTACAAGCATTATTAAAGCTTTGCATGTATCACGAATACTTTGTTGTTGATTAAAACATTTTACGATAAGATTGTACAGAGCATCAATAAGAGCAATATCTTCAAATGGATTGCCTGGCTTTAAACTCAACAATTTACGTTCATGTTTTCTGCGATTTTTACTCGAGCGGAAAGTTTTTCTGTAATAAAAATAAATAATAATATAAGTTTACCTTTTAATAGATTTTACGTTATACCCAGTGTTTTGAGTATTTTGAGAGCTGGTTGTATAACGCGAAGAGTACAAACTGCTGGTATCTGATAATAAATCATTGTCATTCATAAGCGTTTGATTTGCACCTTCACCATAAAGCATCTCTACTTTTTTTAAACGTTTTACACGTACTGCCAATAAACGTTCCTTGTAACTGAGAAACAACTCTTTATCAGACAATAAAGATGCCATTAAATGATTGCAATGTAATAACAACTCCATTTTAATAAGCGTATCTACAAACAATTTAAGTAGTTGCAAATCAATTTGTATAACTCAGATTTTTCTTGATTTTAACAATACCTAGAAGGCTGTCATCCCGCATTTCAGCTTCAAAAATAGCCTTAAGGAAAATTTTGCCTCTAACAAGGATCTCAAGCGATTGCTTAAAATTATTGCCGTATGCTTTGGATATATCGTAGGCTTCTTCAAATTTTCCTTGTTCTTCCAAGGGATTGATCAGAGACCTTTAAATAAAAAAAGACAATTATAAGGGATTACCAATAAATATCGTACACCATCTCGCTTGTTACAACCCAAAGTTTAGAATTTATTAAAAGTTTTTTATTTTAGCAGAAAAATAAATTCTAAGACTAAAATTTTAAAGCAAATCTTAGCATCTACAGCTTTCGGTTTCATGGAAAACTCTACGACATTCGGGATTTCAACCCCTCCTTCTCGCCAAATGAAATTGCTTTATAGAATACTTTTGTAATTATTGTAACCATTCTCCAAAAGAATGTGTGTGTTGGATCATCAGAATCAATTTAGACATATTTGCTTATCTTTCACGTTTGTCTCGAAGAAGCAGCTTAAATTTTTTGTTATAAACCTTGTCAAATAGGGTTCGAAAACTAGCTAAAGCGGTGTGACATATATATATTATGATTATAATCAATTAGTTCAAAATTCTACAAAACATGCAAAACAAATGAGAACGAATATACGCTTATTTTATAAAGTTCTACAAAACATGCAAAACAAATGAGAACGAATATGTACAGAAGCAGCACAACGTTATTATGTACGCAATATACAAAGATATACACCGCGCTTAATAAAGTAATCAATAATTTCTACGCCTTTCCTAAATTATATTCTCTAAATTTCAATAGTTTTAGTTCAGAAGTTTAAGTATGGCTTTTTAAGTGACTCTTGCATATACACACTTTCTTCCAACAGCAATTTACATATCACAGCTGTGTTGCATTTATATTACCCTGCAGTCATAGTCGCTCATCTTATTATTCTCACATGGCACCAAATTCGAAGTGGCTCATTTTATTATTCTCATATGGCACCAAATTGAGATTCTCTCAATTTATTATTAATACCAGTGTTTTGGATTGATTTGCACAAACGAGAGAGAGAGGTATCTCATTTTGAAGTTTCTTAATATGTAAGCAAATTGAGCAATTATGCGTGGAATAAAAGCATTGTCATTTTTGATTACACCTCTCTATGAAAAGAACTCGTCCCTACGCATCAATATATACTACCTTATTAGAGATAATGAAAAAAAAGGGAGAAAATGCCGTTAGAAAAAAAAAGATAACACTTATGTGATGCGAAGATATTGGTAAGTTGGTTCGAAATTGGGTATGTTTCAAAATAATTAAGTCTCTTCCTCTCTACATGCATTTTATGTGTATGCATGCAAGTAAACATTTGAAGAAACTTTCTCACAAATCCTTTAACTCATAAAGTTGATTCTTTCCTTCACAATATAAATAGGTCAGTTCACAATTTTTATACGCATTTTAATTACGTTTATATTTTTTACCTATGTGTAAACAAAAAATTTTCGCATATGCTGTCATGACTTATAGATTTCTCTAAAGACATTTACGAAAGTATAAATGCCAAAGAAATTTGTTTCGAAACATTTATGAATTTACGTGCTTTAGTTTAGTAGGGGGGAATGCGCTGTCTAGAGTCTTAAAAATATTGACTTGCGCGCTTCGCGCGATCAAAAAAATTCAATTTTTAAACCACAAAAGGATTTTTTTTTCTCCTTGTATAACAAAAGTTCAAATTAAGTTATCAAATTGCCTTTGTTGCTTTGCAGGATGTCTTCGTGTCACTTTAAAGATATTATAAAAATGAAACGAATCAAAACAGTAACAGTTTGACTTTGTCCCGTTTTAAAAAAAAATGTCCGGTCGATTAGAACGTGTCTGAAATTACAAGTGCTCGTATACGGCTGTTCAATAACGTTTAAATGGATGAAATCATTTAAGCATTTAAAATATTTCAAAGTGATCATCCAGTTAATCTTTCTATTAAGGAATAATTTAAGTTTGCAAAAAAGATTGATTTTCCAAAAATTTGGCATTGGTTTTCTTTAAAGCCTTTCAGATTAATTCGAGTTTTTATGGACCTTGTAGAATGTTATTCTAAATATTGCCAGGAAATATCAGTACAACAAAATTGTTTTTGAATAGCTATAGCTTCACACTTACTTCGCCACAACGGCCATGTCTTCTTTTAGTTTTCTCGCCAACAGTAACACTCTTTGCCAATTTAATATGTGTTTTGCACTTTGTAGGGCTTGCGCGAGATTACCCCCTCTTTCGTACATAATACTGGCATCTTCTAGTTTACTTTGAGCGCGAAGATAGTCAGCATAGGCTAAACATATGGTTTTATGCTTTTCATTATCATGTTTGTATAATACTAGAGCTTGAATGAAGAGCTTTTTGTTTTTGATGAACGTTAAACCTTCTTCAAAATGTTCTGCACCGCATTTGGCCAAGTGCTGTATAGCTTTCTCATAACGTTTTAGATATTCATCAATTTTAAATTTGCAATAATTGTCGTTCTTATACTTTTTCCACTCATTGAGCATAGCCAAAAATTCTTTAGGGTCTTTTTGCGACTTCTTAGCAACAAATAAAACTAAACCGAAATCGTATGTTCCCAAAGCCACGTTGAACAATTCATTAACATCTACCAGATATAGGAGATATCTCAATGCTTCCTCCGTTTCTTCTGACTCATCAAAGCAATGGCGCCTTTTTTCCTCCCAAATTAATAGTAAAGCTTTTTCCAATTGATCCATTTTAACATAGGCCGTAAGTATTGGTAGACAATAGCGTTTCTCGCTAGAAGCTTCCATATGCGATAACAAAGCCTTGCAAACATAGGATACTTTGTTTTCGATCTGAAAATCTCCAGGATAGCTTTGCAAATTTTCTTTATAACTACTAGCGTACATGGTTTTGGTGAAGTCCTAGGAAAATAAATATCGAAAAAACCCTTTTTAAAAATTTTTTACTGATTACTAACCTCGTTTTGTAGATCACTTATGAATAGATTTAACCAATTCGGATTTTGTATTTCCTTTAAAAATACATCTAAATTATCAAGAAAATCTTTTATATTATGATCGCAGATGATATTTAAATTGATTCGTTGTTTACGTAACATGTCAAATGCTAAGCGATAATAACGGTTTGACGGCTTTAACAGATCATTAATCAGCTCTAAAGATAAGACTCTAGGATTGATCACTTCCAGATTACCACGTGGCATTTGTAAAACGACTCTACCTAATTCTGAAATCGCTGTCACTAGTTTTGAACCCCTTTCCAAGCGACGTTCATCTATTATACGTAAATCTGCCAACCTTACAAAGTGCAGAGAAGCCAACTTAGTAAATAACAAATAATTTCCAGTTTGACAAAATGAAGTTACATCCGTTGCCAAACACTCCTTATCAACGTATAAACATCGATTAGTTGTTAAAACAACGGAAATGAAGTCGGTATGATTATCTCTGCTAATCACTTCTAGTTTCTCTGCGATGTAATTCAATTGCACATGTAGCTGCGTACCTTTAATAGAACTCGTTCCTAAAGTTAATGTTTTCAGTGCTCCATCTTCTAAAGTTTGATAAATCCATTGATTTTTTATGGTTTCACATTTTGCGAGTGCAATTATTGTGCCTTCAACGTTGTAATCGCAATATGGCTGATCTTCTTCATCCGCTGTTAATCTATGTAAATACGTTGTATTTTCTTTGGTATGGTTGAAAATTACACTTAACGCTTCACTGTAATCAAACCATTGAATGCAGTTCAGACGCATTGAAGATTCTGAACTTGTAGCTGTGAATGGCGTTTCGCAAATCTTTTTGAATAGCAATGGTAACTCTGTTTCAGCCACGTAGAAGTGCAAATTATGTCCTGAATCATACATACATAGATAAATCATATCTTTTACAGCCTTCACTATTACTGAAGAAATATAAAATTGTCCTTCAAGTTGCAATTCACGATTAGACATCGGCGGTGGGATGATAGCCTTTGAGAAATTTGTCAACAGCAAACGTTGGCCATCAATAACGGTAACTAAACCGGATGGCATATGACCATCGACTACCCAATGCCATTTAAATGTGAAATAATCACCATTAATTAGCATGATATGACAAGTTTTCTCCTCATCGATCCGCTGATCCCATTCAAATAAGATTACTTCATGATATTGTTCGGATGCTAAAACTTGCTTCAAATACCAATGATAATTATTTATGGTGTATATATAAAAGCCTTTTGCTGTTTCTATGGAGAGTACTTCGGAATCTGAACTCCATTTCACGTTCTTGATGGGATTCGTTTCCAAATCAAATGTTAAAACTATTTCGCGATGGCGCAAACCATTTTTCTCAAATAAAGCCATCACACTTTTGTTGGGTAACTTTTGAGGGACAGCTAACCAATTGCCCGATGGTCTCCACGCTATACAAGGTAATAAACCAAATTGCTTTTCAGCTTTAAATTGTAAAGTACCTTCTTTATCGAAAATTTTGAAGGTACGACCTTGCGATAAACAAACATACGAGATTGCAAAGTAAGCACCATCTGCACGCCAAGTGATTTCAATATTCTAAATGGTTGCACGAAGAAAGCAACGTTTAAAACTGATTAGGCTCTTAGAGTGTTGAACCCCTTACCTGTGGCAATTGATCGATAACAACATGCAATTCTTCATTTGATTTCTTCTTGGCTGCTTGTTTTCCTTCTGAGCCATGAAACTGAGTCTCTTTCTTGCCCCAACCAACGTTTACAAATTTATTTTCCGCTTCAGCGTCAACTTCCTTCAAAGCGTGTTCAGTAAGTACGTCGAAGTTGTAAGTCATTGCTACTACGTTATATTCACGAGTAACAAAAACAACAACATCTTGGTCCGGACTCCAAACCATCCGCTCAATGCCCACATCGCAAAACGTACCCTCACTGGCAGACGATGTCTGCAGATTTACTAGCAAAACTTCCCCACCGCCCGTAGCCAAGCATATCACATTATCCAAAGCTAAATATTCTGCATCAACAATATTTGGGACCTCAATTATAACTTTCGGTAATTGATTTTCTCTTAAACGCAAGGAGTACAACTTATCTGAAGTTACTACAAAACGCTCGTTATTAGCTTTGTCGTCAACATTTGGATTCAAAAGTAAAAATTTTGCGTTCTTTATGTTGGTATTGAATTGTTGAGAATATTTTAATTTTAAGTTCCGCATTTTCCTTTTTAACTATTGTCTATTAAACGGCACATGTGTTAAAAAAATAAACAAACTTCTTCTTCTTTTTTCGCAATTCAGGAATTCATATCAAATGATTCACTGTGATCAGTTAGAATACGTATTTTGTTGTTGTAAAGCAATAAAGTATGTATTTTGTTGCTGGAAAAGTAGTGCCGTTGTTGTTAGGTTGTTTTTGCATTTTTTATAATATATAGCTATTATTATTATTATAATTATCATTATTAATCTTTAAAATCGCGACTATCGAAAAATAATAGATTTGCTTTTTTTGTCATCATAATCAACGAAGTTCGTCTACGTTGTTACTACTACTAATTGGAAGAAAACAAATAAATAAATTTTGTGGGTATCAAGCATTTGAAACTTAGCTTACATTTTCGGTTGATTTGGGTTCACATATGTTATAGCTTTCAGCATTGGTTAATGATTGTCATTTTTTGGTTGTACTTATGCACAACCCTTGTACTTACCAAATTACGCAAAAGCTAAATAGTTCATGTTGTGCATTTTTCTTACTTTTTTTTTTGTTTTTTTTTTTTGTGTATATAAAAGAGAAATGGGTCAGACCTGTGAATGACAAGACCTATACAACCAGTACCATTATAAGTCTTTAGAGCTGAAGGTTGATAATAACAATAAAGTTGATAATAAAGAAATTCGATGATGCACATCCCGTGGTGATTGTTATTGATTTATTGACGATTGAATGACGTTGATCTCTCTTGTAGCAGTTATTTAAGTTGTAATACTACCCTCAGTTCTGTTCAGTCCGGCGTTTAGTCCAAAAGATTGATACCCAGCTTTAGCTGCATAGCCATTGTTGATTTATGGATTGATAAAAGTGATTGTGCCAAGTGAATAACTGGTATTGTTTGTAAAAGAGTTACAATACGTTATTGAGGTTGATGGAGGTTTGGGCAGATGCAAATCAGCTTAAACTATTGTTGAAAGAAACTTTCGTGTTAAATGAGAACCACCAGGCCAGAGTAAAATAGTTGATGAATTTTACCGTGCGCACGAACACACAGAAGAAGGTCTATTAGAATGAATTATATTATGTTACGAATATATTACCATTTTGAAATAACGTAGAAAAAGGGCGGTAATCCTTTATGAATATCAAAGAAAATAGATTCGGATTGTCAGCATAAAACTGATCGCCATATTGTTTTATTATAGTGATAATTTATTCAAAATGCACATGGTAAACAACTCTTTATGAAAATGTGGTGTCTTCCAATCTCCTGATCATACGCTATTTGCCTATACGAATGATACCATTTCTATTCGCCACTCCGTACTTCGCAAATTGAGTATATGCGGCCTTCGTGACCACAGTATTGTTGACATTTTGCGTTCTCATAACTTAACAGCTTACTTCGCAATCTTTTCCTTTTTTAAATCATATCACCGAAATCTATAAACGTGCACTGTTAAATTATGAACCTATTCTTTTTTATACATTTTTACTCTTACACTCATCAGTTCCTTTATATAACATTTTACACTTATCCCCTCCATTAAATCTTATTTACTTTTCGCTGTTCTGTTCTATCCTACGTGACGGACGAGTAATATACATATTTTATTAACAATTTAAAAAAAAATAAAGTAGCGGACGACAAATTAAAAAGACTAATTTAATAATAAAATAAGTAAATAAACTTGACTAAGGCCCAAACAAAGAACTCTATGTTCACCTTGTGCCTTTTTTACACATCTCAGCGAATTTTCGGTTATTAATTTGCTGAATAACAGAATAAGAAGAAGAAGAATCAACAGCGCCTTTTTTGATTTTGGTTTGCGGATAAAAGAAAATCTATTTTCTAGTAAAATAAAAAATTATTATAATGGATAAAGATTTCCAAGGAGAGTTGATAGGCACGGAAAAGCAAGCAATTGATGCCAAAGGGCAAATAGCCAAATCCTTCGAACTTATTGGCAAATCGACTGGCGCAAAAAACCAATTAATATTTGCGGCCAAAATATTAAGGGCAATCAGCCGGTGTGATGGCAAACATATGCATATTTATTCCGATATATTAAATAATATTTTTGGGAGACAATTAAAACCCGAGGCGAGTGAAAAATATTGGATAATTTTTTTGGACTATTTTCGACATATTCATTATTTATTAGTTGACAAGGTAACTATAATATTTGCCACCGCTTTAAATAAACATTTAATACTCATTTTGCAGGAGGAGTATAGGCAAGCATGGTTAACATTCAAAACTATCTCTGGATATACACGTAAATTACAAACAGAAAAGGCGGCGAAAATTTTTATAAATATTTATTGCTACCAATTGCATTTGGAGATAAAACGTCTGAAGCACGACTTATTAAAAGCGGTAGAAGAATCGAAGATTATTGTCCGAGCTTTGGCGGAAATTTACCGAGAAATGCTACAAAAAAATCACGAAATGAATTATCAATACATGGATATTTTAAGCTACTCATTCCAGTGGCTTATGCCAATCAATGGCTTGGTCAGAATGTCTACACTATACTCTGCTTTACCTAAGACTGATGTTGAAGCCATGTTCAATTCATTGTTCCAACTATACGGCATGCAAAAACTAACTAAGCCTCCAAAGGAAAAGTTCGACAAACATATGCTGGAATGCTTGGAGATACTTCATAGCCTTTTACAATTCGATATAATTAATAAACTCGAATTGAAATTATCCTTTTTTTTGTTGAAGTCCTACCGATCGTCGTCGCTACTAAAAAGTCACGAAGCGATCAGCATTTTCTTCCAGTTTTTCGCTGAATGCATGGAGGCAATTATATTAGAGAATCCTGCTACAAATCATCACAAAGTTTTCTATGAAAAGTGCAACGATCTTAAAACGTATTTTGAAAATAATTCGAAGTTTTGTCAATCAGAAGCCTGGTTTTCTCAGAGTATAATCATGCTTAATTATATGATCAACCAAATGTTGAATTTAGACTTGTTTAACTTATTTTGGGAAAAGAATTCAGAACCACGTAGCTACAACGCCCTCTTAGAGCTGATGGTCGAACTGGTCAAATTATGCACGTTCGTTAACAATCAAAGCAAACTATACAAGATTGCTTGCTGTTCCAGTGTGCGAAAGCATTTAGCTGTCGGATTTGCACAAATTTGTTTAGCAACTTACACCATACAAAGCAAAGTAGCAAAAGAGCAAAAAGAACTTTTATGGGAATCTATGGAAGAGGTAATTTTTTCGTGCTTTCTATTTTATACCAACCGATAAAGAATATAGTATATCAACCATAAAATTCTAAATGAATTTAAGGTTTTTAATTGGTTTCTTGTTGACGCCGGCATCATAATCGCGAATGAATTTGAAAATGGGTTTAAAAGTTAAATTTGGATTAAAATTGATTTAATATATGCTATACAGATGCTGTAATCCATGATAATATAACTGATTTCAAATTTTTTTGGTTTGAATACAACTTCCTGGGATTAATTCTTATAAAAATAAAACTAATTTCCACAAGTGCATATTGTCCCAATTACAAATTTTAAAACGAAATATCCAAAATGAACATAGCTTCCTTTTCTGTTTTACTTTTATATTTAATGCTTTTTTTTTCCAACGTTTTTAGGCTAACGGAAAAGTTCTGGATTTAATTGTTAAGAACATGTCTTTCATTGTCAATTACGGCCTCAAAGTGGCAAATACAATGGATTGCATTACGTCTACATGCCAGGATATGCAGGTTTTGCTTACGCGTTTCAAACAAATTACGTTAGAAATACAAACCGATAGACAAGCCACAACGTGTGTATATCTCTTGGAACTGTTTTTGAGAATTAAGCAAAAAATTTCTTCTAAAGAATGGTCCGGTTTATTAAGGCGTCTATATAAAGCCAAACTGCCCTTCAACAGTTTACCGACAAGCAGAGAATTGCAAATGTGTTTCATTGCCTCTTTGGTTACACACGGCCAAGAATTGGACCCAAATCTAATTAGAAGTCAAATCAATTGCTTTTATGCGTCCAGTGAGAATAACCAATCGCAGCAACATGAGAAATGTTTACTCGCTTTATACAAAGCGTTCAATGGCCGTTTAAAGCCCTTGCTGAACTTTGAAGATAGGAAAATGTTATATTGGTTTGATATGCGACACGTCACGAAATATTGTAAATCCAATGAAATGTTAATGCGGTCTTTAATTGACTTTAGCCCAACTAAATATGATTTGGTGCTGGCAGTACGTTTAAGTAAACTGCATGGCCACGCTTTAAAGCGCCTACAAGGATTGTATGCATTGTTGAAAGAACGAAGTGAAAATCATTTGGAACATCTGACATATGCCCACATAGAGGTCATATTTTTGCTGGAAAAATATGAGTCTCGTAAGAATCATCCTAAACTAGATTCTAAGGAATTGCTAGAAGATAATTTAGAGCAATTGTTAAAACGTGGGGAATTGAAAGCTATCCTCCTGAAGAATGAATTGGAACTAGTACATTTGGCAATAGAGGCTTATCAGGCCTTTGAGATATTTTATGAAAAGGTAAGAAATGTATTTTCCAATGTTGTGTTTAATAGGATATATAAACCCATTTAGATTTCATCAATTGATGAAAATAGGAAGTGGTTAAGAGTAAAGAGCAATGATACAATATATGGACGCATTTTTACAACTGTTTTATATGTATAGTCCGTACAAAATAACATCCTTCCGTAATGACTGTTGTAACATTTTGGTAAAAAAAAGTGGTTCTTACAAAATGATTTTTCTTAGTTATTTTTGGATATGGTGCAAATTGCCGTGTTCATAATAGAAGGGTATAGGAAAAGTTTTAGGATGGACGTGAATTTTAAATAGATTTCAAAAATAAACTAAATAAGAGTATGAAATATTTTGTGAGTTCTTAACAAAAGAGTAGGCGTATTCTGCCAACAACTGTAACGTACTAACCTGTACATGATACAATTATTTCAAGGCTGCCTAAAAATCGCATGTGGTACGGGTTTGAAGATGTCAGCATTAAAAACTCGCTTTTAGATATATAAAGCCTTTGTAGTTGAAGCTCTCAGTTTGAATGTGTTTAATAACTTTTAACTTGCTCGTCGACGACTTCTCTTACTCCTCCAACTTGATTTGAATCTAAACTCTCAGATGACATATGAATTTACTGCTTAAGAATTAAAGAATTGTAACGGCAAAGGGACCGACATATATCCCTGTTTTACTTAATGGCTTTAAGTCGTTTTACAATTACGACCGCTAAGTTGCTATGCACTCATTCGTTATTACTAGCTAATTTGACACACAATCTCATGCTAATCATATATCTTCGGAGGAATGAAAATTTGGTCAAAGACAATTAAATATTTTTTTCCTAGTTTGCTGCTGAATGCATAAGTTGTGATGAAGCCTTCATCGACTGGGAATTGTTAATGGATGATTTAGGATTTTTAGCTCAATACTTGCAATCTGCGGGTTATTTGGAGTGCAGTTCACGTGCTTGGTTACTACTTTACAAATCTGCTTTACTAGCGCGGGATGAATACACTGCTCTGAAAGGCTTGACGTTTATATGCGAATATTCGGACTTAATTGACGAAAAGAAATGTCTACCTAGTGGAAGTTTGGAAACTGAAATTAAGCAGCATTTTCCTTTTTTAATAACGTCATTGAATAATGTGAATTCCATAGCGAAACGCTATCAAAGCACAGTTTTTTTGGCTATCCTCCAAATCGCCAACTATTATTATGCTCGTTGTTCAAGGTGTGCCTACGGCCGATTGTTGCTGCAGATGGTAGAAGAGAAGCACAATAGTTTAATTGATCGTCAAGGCAAGTATGATTTGATTAAAGGCAGTCTAGATGCTATACAGATACGTTGGTTGTGCAAGCATAATAATCGAGATCAGTCTGCAAATTTGTTAATGAATGAATGTTTGTTGCGCAAAATTGATGAAACTGTCGACAAGTTTCATGACTTTGTCTACATCAGCTCCGGTGATTCTCTGTCATACGCGATTCTATTGACAAATTTGACTTTGGAAATGGCAGAATATGCAGCCAATCGCTTGTGTGATAACTTTCTAAATGCCTTTTTCGTGGCAATCTTAAGTATAGCGTTACAATCGAGATTGGCTTTGCGTTTTGTACATATCTTGTGCCTGTGGATGTGGATAAATTTACAACAAGAGCACGTTGAAAAGGCCCAGGTGAGATGGCTGTCATGTCATTTTTCTAGTATTTGCATTATTTAAAATTGTTTTCATATAAAAAGATAAAAGTAAAAGTGATGGAATATGTTATGGGCTTAAAGGATCATAAAGAGCTTTCCCAAGAAGTTGTAACTAAGGACATACTGTTAAATATTTCTAAAGAAATAGCACCTGCCCCTAACGCATCTATGGAATCCATGAGGAAATTAGTACTAACGCAACTTTCACCGCTAAGAATGGTAAGTAAAAAAAATATCTTTTTTTTTTTAAGTTTTATAAAACAAAAGAAAAATTATAAACAGGGTCAATTGCAACTAAATCTTTCGACAAGAGCAGCTAGCCTAGCGGCTTTTTTCAACAATAACACCTGTGAGTCATTGCTGCCTGTTAGTGATGTGGTGGAATGGTCATTATTTACCGTAGGTTGTTTAACAGCTCGTCTACACTTCATTTGCGAAGCCTATGAACAATTGGATAAGTTCTATGAGCAAAGTTACGACTGGTTGCAAAAACGTCAGAGTTATTTTAACAAAGAGTATTTCAAAAACATTCAACTATTAGCGGGTCAACACCATATTAACTACTTACGTTCGCAGCATCACTACGAGGAAGCAATAAGAAATTTAAAAGACATTATAGAGGATAGTAAAAAGTGCAAATCGAAAATTGATTTGGTGTACAGCATAAATTTTGAACTGCAGTTGCAATCGGCAGAGCAAGAAGCTCAAGTGCATGCAACAAAGCAATTGAATATGGGATTTGGTGGGTCACCCGAGGAAAAAGGGAACCATCTTCGTAAAATTATGCGTGAAAAAGCTTTGCAAGAAATGGTTCGATCAACCAGGAAATGTTGCGATGTATTTAAAACTGAGAAAAGTTTAGCATATAAAAGCGAGAGTAGTGGCAGTACTTCCAGTATAGAAAGCAAAGATAAAGTCGAATTAATATATTTAAGTGACTCTGTAACGCCGTCAACAATAAACAAAAAACAAGGGGGATATTCGATAATATCAAAAAGAGCAAAATCCGAGGAACGATCCGATCTTGAATTGCATACGCCTAATGTTACAAATGGCAACTGCAAAAGACAGTTGCCAAAAACTGCTTCCAAGATATTAGTTTCTTCGACTGACAGCTGCGTCAACAATATACTAAGCCACACCAAAGAAAATCTTAACAAGGTAGAAGCTGAAGTGTTGGTTAAAAAGCGTGGTCGAAAGCAACAGATTGTCAAACAGCCCAGCGCACCTGTTATCATTTTGGAAGACTCCGATATTATTACACCATCAGAAAAAGTCAGTAAATCCAGACTGTTCTTAGAAAGCAGCAAACCTTCAATCAGCGAGGTAAATACAGTAAGAAGCCACCGGCCTACTACGCGACTTTATCGGCAACGGAAATTATTAGAAGAAAATAATGGCAAACTTGAACAATGTATGCAGAATAACCTTAATACGCCATTAAGCTGCATTCGAAAGAGTAGACTCCATAAAAACTTGTAATTTTATAGATATCTTTATTATTGTTTTTATTTATATTAGCGTTTTTTGATCCTTTTTGAGCTTTATTAGTTATGTGCATTTTTTTCAATTAAAATATATTTATTTGTATGGAATTCTTAAAATTATGCTTGAATATCATATTTGGCGTACAAATGGAGGAACTACTCCGACTAGGATTTTTGATGCATTACGACGTTCGCGCAAGCAGAAATATGAACGAAAAAGAAGGAAATGCATACTGAATCTATCGTGAAGATTGATTAATTTTTTGATGACGTTCCTAAATTTGCTTTTAAAAATTAGTGCGCTTTCTGCATTGACATAAAGGACCAATTAATATACCTAGGCGGGTTTCTATGGTACGCGATACAGTTAGGGCTGCGTCGCGCAACCGACAGACTCACTAAGCAACTAATAGCGGACCATAAAATAATAATTGAAGTAGACAGAAATTCGGAGGACTCATTAGGCTTAGCAATAGACCACGAACAGGCGACTACTAATGTTAATGTGCGAAGCCCCGCCAATTTAGTTATTGTAGATAGGTCTAGTATAAATTGCAGCAACTACGAAGACAAGTACGAAGACGATGAGCCATCAACCGCGGGCCAGGCAACAGCGCGGAGATTGAGGAAATGGCGCCATGCAGACGACCCAGTGATCCAGAAGGCAGCAGCGGAAACATTCACAAAACGGCGTCATCTCAACGAACCGATCAACGAACCAATCAACGAACCTATCAACGGATCAATCAACGGACCGATCAACGAACCAATGCCGGATGTCGAGGAGCTACGGGAGACCGTACAAAATTGATTTGTAATTTAAAAAAAAAGGAAAGTGAATAAAAGATTTAAAAAAAATCGTTTTCTTGACAGTTGAATACAATTTTTACAATTCTCCCTCTTGCTCACACAATTTCGGGTCGTCAAATATTGTGAAAATTCAAGCATGAACAAATTTAATATACACCAACAAAAATATCATTATTACATAATTACGAGAAAGGTTTAAAAAAAAAGAAACGCAACAAAGATGAGGAGGATTTCTACTAAAAGAACTGAACTTGAGGAAATACCGGGAAGAAAAATTCTTCCTTTTGCTTTTTTTCATTCAATGATTTGAAAACGCTCTTCACTTTTAACTGGATCTAGCAACTTAAGATATATATAATCTCTGCGTGGCTGTGCATGCACACATTTTGTATGCCTAATTGTTGTCTAGATATGAGTGTTGAGCCTAAAGCTATTCAATCGTTGAACCGTCAAGAAAGAAAATCTCTAACCTACCGTTCATTCACAAAATTTTTTTAAAATTAACGTTTTCATTTTCGTCGCCAACTTCATCATCACCGAAGACTCACTTTAAAGTTTATTTTGAAGTTATTTTCTGCCTACACTTTGCAAAATCCCTGACTATTTAAGTGATTATAAACACATCTATTTGAAACAAATACCAATACCGTACGAACACTACCAACTTGAATTATCTACGTTGTGCGAAATCTTTGGAAAAGGCAAAATAGACAAAAACTACAGCGAATAGAGGCAGCAACAAATAGAAATGGAACGTGAATCAAACCCAATGAAACCGATGTGTCGCTCTGGTTGCGGTTTCTATGGCAATCCCGCCATAGATGGTCTATGTTTGGTGTGCTATAAGGTTTGTTTTTAAAAATCGATCGTAAAATTCCCCTTCTTACGCCAAATTCATCAAAAACTCCAAAATGCAATTAAAACACTTCAAAAACTTAATTTACTCATAAAATAATTTATTACTCTCTATATTTTACTTTAATGGCATTTCCGCAATAAAGTAAAAGTTTTAGTAATAGAATATAAGGTTATGAAGTTATATATAAATATAACTAGCAAAGACATAAATCAAAGATTTTTTGCAGAGCTCTGCTCAGCCGTTAGCAGAATTCTGTTAAATGACGTCTTGGAGGAATTTAAGTCAAAACGCAGTTAAAATAAAACTACTCGAGAACTTTTTTACAAAATATTATAAAAAAACATGACTTTATTCAAATTAATTAACATTTGAAGGGACAACATTTTTACACTACATCATAAATAAGCTTGATAAAGCGACAGTTTGCTTAGCTACTGTGAAAAAATGAAACTGGGACGCATGTGCAGGTTTTTTTAAAATTCGCTTCACACCCTACTAAAAGTTTTAATAATTTTTTAAAAATTTGCAAAATGGACCGTAAAACCACTCTTGATGTTAGAAGTTTTAAATATATAATTAACTATACAATTGATTATTGAAGGTTTTCAGCCCACATTTGAAATTTGCGTACGTTACATAGGGTTCTCGTTTTCATAAAAATTTTTCTCAATCCATCTAGGTAATGCAAGTGCTGAAAAATGTATCTTGGAGCTATAGTATTTCAAGTTCATTGCATCTATTTCTGAAGAACTGAACTTTGTAACCGGATCCTTAAAGTCTGATGATTTATCTAAGCATCCAATGACAAAACCGATTTGGTCGCAAGGATAAGACGGAACCCATACCATGACTAACCTTAATATCTTTTACCGAAAACTTATCATATGCTCAATCGATCATTGCAAAATTTAAAATAATCATATATATAATTAGTTTATTTTAAATACAATTAGTTTATTTTAAACATAATTTTTAAGATAATACTGGCAATAAAAGAAAATTAAATTAATTTAAAAGAGATGTCTATTAATCTGATTTCTTTTTTTGTTAAATTTATGTAATTAAATTTAAAACATTAGAATAATAACTTACGTAAAAAGGATTATAATTGATTTGAAATTTACATTGCCCGCTGTCATAATTTGTTTTGGCTTCAGACTTTCCACCACAAATGCATAAAGATATAACAGTGCTAAAAACAGTAAAGTACTTGATATGCTGAACACCGTAATTGCATAAGTGGCCTCATATATGTAGCTAGTTAAAACATTGCCAATCACCATGCGAGCACATAAGCTGACTTCATTCAAAACCATTCTGAAAAGGAAAAAATGCATCACTTGGATTTAGCTATTTATTCCTACACACCTTATTTACCTTAAAGCTCGGGATTTTGCTTTAGCTACCGATCCGATATGTAATTGAGACACAAGTGCCACCGCTGATGGTACTGAACAAAGGAAAAGCAACCATGGATTTATAATAACTTTTGCAGAGATATAAATTGAAACAGTTGCAATAATTCTGCTAATCAAATAACCTGCAAAAATGTTGTGATTAAGAAAGATAAGAGAAAATGTGTTAATTTTTTTGTTACTACTAAATTCAGTCAAGAGTATCGGACGTCTGTTTTGCCACTAAGGTTTCTACTTACTGGAATATAATTTTCACTGCCGTGAAACGCAACACTGTGTTTTCATCATGTAGTGTCGAAAAAAAATGTCCAATCCACGGTTCAATAATATTAGGAAAGCGAAATGTCAGAGCAGATAGGCCGATCACAATGCTGCTTTTGATTTTGGTATGATTGAAAATATTCATCAAGAAAGGCATATAAGACTCACAGACGCACATAAAACGTACAAGAGCCAAAGAGGGTGATTGCTGTAACGTTGGTTCACGATATTTAAATGGATATTTACAAATCTCTAAAATGTAGGGGAACAATCTCTTCGCAGATGTGATTAACTAATTCGGTCACATTATTCTCAGCAGTAGCACCTGCTAAGTTTCCGTCTCGCTGTAAAAAAGACGCATCTTATAAGTATTCCTACTTTTTATTTCCTTTTTTTTTTAAACAAACCTTCTGCTGCGGTTCGGCTGCCGAGCTTGTTAAACGCTTCAATGATTCGCTGGCAGGCGTATTTAAACTAGCCGTTTTGAGGGAGTTTTCGTTACAATTAGTAAAAGGGCTCTTCTTTTTCTTCTATTTACATTCTGTTAATTCTTGGCGGTATCTCATGTAATTGTGAACATCGATGTCAAGAAATATCATTTCTTTCAATGCCATATAACCAATCATGGAAGTGAAGCGAGTCAAAAGGAACACCGGCATTTTCAATTGAGACGCCGCTGTGATGCGATATTTGTAAAACTTTAGCTCTAACATGAGCTGGTATATCGTTAATGTGCATCAATAAATTTTTGTAAATTTTTCAATTTTGCATTAAATTATACAATTTTATACAACTGTATACTTCTTCTCTCCAATCTCCTTCGGTATTCGGCGTTGTTTGCCGGAGGAGAGACTCAGCGCGGAGCCGCCGATTCTCTTTTTTGCGCCGCCTGCGCTGATGTCGACGAGCCGTCAAAATTCTCGTCGATCATCTACGACGCTCGGGCCAGAAGTCAACGGGCCGGCATAACTCTCTTCTATTATTCCATGTACTCCTGGACGCTCGGAGCAGAAGTGGATGGGCCAGAATAATCCTCCTGTATTATTTCCATGGACTCTTCTAAGAACTTTTCGGAACCACCTGCACTTACCGTGATCTTTTCTTCGAAGAATTCCTTCTCCTCAATTATTTTGGACATCACCTCCACGGCCCGCATATATCTAAGTTCTTTCGCATACCAAAGATATGCGCAATAATGTGTCCTCTGAGACAGCCCTTTTTCGAGCCGCTGCAGATGCCGCCTGACATTTTTCAGAACGGTTCGCACTTTTTCCTCGGACACAGGACGCTGCAACTCCTCGCCTAATTTCTTGGCCAGTTTCTGGTACTCGTCTTTACTCGGCCCCCGCCTGTGATGCCACAGCTTCGGATAGTCCCGCAATAGATGGCTTAGGACATAGTGGAATTTCTCATTGCAGGTGGTGGACATATTTAAATTGGATCGGATATAACTACTGGAATTACATCAAATTTTGTTAATGTGGAGATGTAAGCTATGCCTCATTGACATGTAAAAATTCTATAAATAATAAAACAGAATTTTTTTCTTTTTTTTTTTTTTGCTTTAAACGGAACACTTTGCAGCTTTCATCAGCCTACAAAGGTTCCCTTAAAGCAAACGATTTTTTTACGCAAACGTATACAAAAAATATTTCATTCCCCGGTAAAAATTAAAGGTATTAAACTTAGTATAGATGGGCATAGGCATCAAGGAGTGTGTGTATGTAATGGGCATGATAATGAATTCAACACATTTCGTTTGTATATTGTCAGAATGCTGCACGTGATTTTATGCACAATTTGTTGGAAAATCCGCAAGCAGCCCACCAATTATCTCTAGATATTGCTTCTGACTTTATTACTAATTGTTTATTAACTATTGTTATTACTGGTAATATAATTGTTGATCAGTTAGAAGCCGATGATAAAATTTTTGCTTGGCTCTATCAACAATTGAGTGTTTATACATTTCATTGCAAAGAAGACTTTAAAAGAATTAAAAGTTTTCTAGTCGTTATATGCTTAATGGCGGCTGATCAATTTGAACATGTTCACACGCAGCCAACCGGTTGAGTCACAAAGCATATTGGCATACGTGAAATATGTTAACAACTATCAACGAAGCGTAGAAGTAAATTCACTTTATTCATTTATATAATCACAATTGTTGGCGTGATTATATATCTGATGTGAATTTTAAAACTAAAGAAATTGAAAGCACTTCGAAGAAAAACTGATCAATCTGTAAACCGTAGGTTCCCAACGATGCAAAATTTAGATCGGCTACTTATTGCACACTATGCTTAAGGATGTTATCAAGATTCATTCTAAAACGAAGAATCTTCTTTTACTTAAAATTTTTTTAGTGTTTTCAGCTAAATTTGAGATAGGACATTTAATGTTAATATTGCCGGACAACATTGAGGAGATTAGATGTTAAAATACTATCTTAATATTATTGGAAGCCTTTCATTTATATAATGTGAATCAATGGACGAATGAGGTAAACTTCTTTCGTACTACAAACATTTTTTCATTATAATTTTTTATAGTGTGTTGAAAATTATTTTCATCATGCTTTGGGTATTTTTTTAAGTTTGGATAAAAACTTGGAATATCGGGTGTTAGTGGAAATCTTTCACATTTTCCATAATTCTTTATTGTTTAACAAAGAATGGCAACGCTTGCAATCAATAACTGATACTACAACATTGCAGTTCCAAAGACTAAAAGGGCAGCAAAAAGAAGTTAAAGAGAGGAAAGTATGAACTGAAGCTTTCCTAGATATTTCCTCATTATATTCACCCATGAAAATTGATATTATACGCTAAATTGGTTTTCCGGTTTTTTGAATTTTGAATTATTTTAGTCAAATTCGTCTATTCCTATTGTTTATGCTTTCACGCTAACAGTTGGTAAAGCACTTTACTTTAAGCCTGTTCAAATATCTCTTAAGGCACGAATGATGCTATTACTTAACAGAATACTTTGTAGTTTCCTTGTGTTAACACCTTTTTTTCTTTGTTTTTGAGACGTTCACGCTTTCAAAATCATTTGTTCTTGTATTTTAAAATTGTATCAAAGCGAAGAAAGCACAGAACGTGTACGAAAACATGTTACCAACTTACATATGGCCGTTGTTAGGTAAAGTAGAGGTAGGTATCGAATATCGTCCACCTTCTTCATAAACTTCATGGGAACTGTCTTCCATCCCATTTTCCTGTAGGCCACTACAAATTCACATGTATGGATATATTCTTCTTCTTTCTTATTTTAATTTACTTTAAACAGTACCTTTTTGCATCTTCCCCGTTACGCAGCCGTAAGATAATATCCTTTCGGGAACATTCGTCGTTTTGAATAATTTCCTTTTTTACATTTTCCGTTAACAGTTCTTGCTTTGTTGCTTCTGTTAGACCATCGAAGCTTGAAAGACTTTTAGACAAATGCGGTTCTGCTCCGATGCCCGCAGTAGTCTCCGACCGCTCTGTCCCGATATATACAATAATTTCTGGCGGTTCTGTTTTGATATCCATAACCACTTCCGACTCCTGTGGTTCTTCACAAACTTCATGGGAACTGTCTTGCTTCGCATTATGCTGTAAGCCACTATAAATTCGCATATATGGATATATTCTTCTTCTTTCTTATTTTAATTTAATTTAATCAGTACCTTTTTGCATCTTCCTCGTTACCCAGTCGTAAGATAACATCGTTTCGGAAGCATTCGTTACTTTGATTCATTTCTTTATTTACATTTTCCGTTAACTGTTCTTGTTTTGTCTGCGGTTCTGCCCCGACGCCCGTAATAGTCTGCGGCGGTTCTGTCTTGGTATCTACACTAATTTCGTGCGCTTGTGGCAAATCGATCGGTAGTTCTTGCAAGCAATCTTCGTTTTTTATAACAATTTTTGATCTCCTCGCTTGATTCAAATATATTTCTTGCAATTTTTCCGCCTCTAAGAGGAAAACGTAAATATCTTTTAATAAATTTGCACACTTGATGCACAACCTTTGTGGCATAAGAATTTCTTCTTCTTCTGAAGGCTTTATTGGAAGAAATGCATTAATGCGGTGTATTTTTTCCCCAAAAATAAATACATACGTTAATTCTCAATAAGTTGCTTATCAGTTCCCCGTAGGTTTTGGACGATCCAACATCCTGAGACACACGTTCATAAAAGGAATACCGAGTGATCTTCCCTTCAGTGCATGTCCTGCATTTATGATTAAATTGTGTAGATTGTGCAGAAGGTAAATATAGTTCCATTTTCTTTCTCCCTATTAATTTTTTTTTTCGGGTTGCTGAGTGGAGATAGACTAATGGCAATAAATTTGTGACTTTTATGTTCTATTAATTATTGTTCTAGTATCTATTTCTTTTTGTTTGCAAAACTTTTTAGAGAAAAAATTGATTGCTCAAACTTGTGTGAATGTGTTGCCAAAACGCAAAAAAAAAATTAGAATCAACAAAACATATTGGTGGAATACAATGAATAATCATGTATCTCGAAGTTAACTTTCTTTCGCGGCCAACTCGATAATTGATAAACGTGTTCGTTGCGATCGCGTAAGATTTTCGTGTCAATTGCGACGCTATTATTCGTGTGCATATGAAACGGCAGAAAATGGGAGGCAAATTTTTCTTTATATTCAATTCCATCTGTCAAAATTCGAAAAATAACAGTTTGTTCTCCTCTCTGCTAAGTAAAGAAGCAAAGAATTGTAGAAAATAAATTATATGCTTACTCTACTCATTTACATTATATAGTTTTTTAGAAATGGAAAAAGGATCACTTTATATAAAATGAAAAAAAAATCGATAAGGGACAAATTTATCAATTAATTATAAAAAAAGTGTGTAACTAGATTAGGCTTTAGTGCACTTTTAAATTGACGGAGAACAACAGGGGAGTTACTGCACGGGATCTCTACAAAATTATTCTTTTCCTAAATAATTTAATATTTTTTCTTGGGAAAACAGCTGATTATGGTATTGCGAAACCAAACGGTTGTTTATAAATTGAAAATAAACCGAGTGGCAACCACATGGTTGTTTATAAATTGAAAATAAAACGAGACGCAATCAAATGCTTGTTTGTTTATAAATTGATAACGCGCATACTACTACTACTAAAGAAATAAGGCCGTAATGCAATTTTATAATTTTAATCCGAAAATGTCTTCAATATGCAGCTGATTACTATTATGAATTGTTTACATAAATAGATAGACAACAAATAGAGCTTACGACAAAAATAATAGAGCTTGCGACTAAAGATGATCACTACGACCAGAAAAGTATAGCATACAACCAGAAAAGTATAGCATACGACCGAAAAGAAAAGCATACGACCAGAAAAGTATAGTATACAACCAGAAAAGTATAGCATACGACCAGAAAA